TTTTAAAGTGAAATAAACTTAAAAAATTTTTTTTTATCCTTGAGCAAAATAACAATGAATGATAAGTTCTTAGTTGTACTAGCTTTTATTTTGAACAGCAATCAAATCAAAAACATTTACAACAAGTTTAAAATGTTTATAAACAATTAGGCTGGCTAGAGACAATTTTGGCTTCTTTTTTAATGGATATTGAATAAGTTATTTTTTATTGTCAACTGATTTATCTCCAATATTAAAACTAGAGTTACTAATTTTTTTCGTTAACTTTATTCTGATAGTTAATTTATGACTTTTAGTTCATATGAATGGTATCCATTTCATTGGAACAAGCAAGAAAGAGATCAGAGGGACTGCTTAATACTTCGATATACAAGAGGTCACCGTTTTTTTATGATTTTACTGGAGTATATAAATTTTTTTTTCGATTACTTTAATCTTCTTGCTTTGAACACAATTCATGTCAATCTTTTTGCAATAAATTGGAGCTTGGGTGAGCAAGCGCTAGCATTAAACAGCTTCACTCTTTTTCAATTATAAATAAAAACTTGTAATTTTTAACATACTTTCTCGTCTAATAAAATGTAAACGAATTTTTAAAGAAATTCAATTTTTGCCATAATTTCTTTAAAAAAAATACACAAGTATAAATATTTCAGCATAGCTAATATGTCTTATTTACTTGAAGAGCTTCAGTACTCTTATTTTTCTCCTTCTAGTGCCCATGTATTTTCTCTATGATAATTTTTTCCCAATAAACTATTCCAATATCTTGTAAAAAGTACCAGTTCCATAAACTACCACATAAAAGTAAAATTATAAAAGAATAGAAATTAAACCGTCCCCANAGTCTAACGACTAAATTAATTTTTTTTAATAATAAATAATGAACAATTTGATGCTTGGTTAAGTAAGCGCCGCAAAAAAGGCGCTTAAGTCCCGTTGCGTTATAAGTAATAACTAAATTCATTTTTGGGGAAGATGCGCAAGTGACGACAAGCTCATTTTATTTATAAATAAGAATTAAATTATCTTTTAAGGAATTAAACGCTTGCAACAACTGAATACATATTTTTCTCATATGATATCTGTTAATAATAAATAATGAACAATTTGATGCTTGGTTAAGTAAGCGCCGCAAAAAAGGCGCTTAAGTCTCGTTGCGTTATAAGTAATAACTAAATTCATTTTTGGGGAAGATGAGCAAGTGATGACAAGCTCATTTTATTTATAAATAAGAATTAAATAATCTTTTAAGGAATTAAACGCTTGCAACAACTGAATACATATTTTTCTCATATAATAAGTAATTAACAAATTAATGTTTGGGTGAGCAAGCGCTGTAAAATTGAAGCTTAACTTTCTTTAAATTATAAGTGATAACTAAATTAATTTTCGGAAAATAAGCGCAGGCGATGAGATGCTTCACTATTTTTTAGTTATAAATCTGAAGTAATTGATTGCTCATGCAAGTGAGTACTTGGATGAATTAATGAATTTTTTTGTAACTGTAAATAGTAAATATTGAATGCTCAGGCAAACTAGCGTCACAAATAAGGATCTAAACTCTGTTTTTCTTATAAATAATAACTGAATTAATTTTTGTGGAAAAAGCGCAGGTGTTAAGCTTAACTGTTTTTTATTCATCAATAATAGTTGAAGAATTTTTAAGAAAGTGAGCCATAGTGACGACTGAATGATATTTTTTATTTTTAATAACAAATAAGTTAATGCTTGGACGATCAAGTGCCGTAGAAGAGCTCAACTCTCTTTTCTTTAATTTTTTGGGGAACAAGCTCAGGTGATGAGAAGCTTTACGGTTTTTCAATTATGAATAATAAAAATAATAATTCAATTGATTCTTACGAAAGTAAGATCTGGTGACGAATGAATAGAAGTTTTTTCATTATGAATAATAAACAATTTAATTCTTTAGCGAGCAAGCGCCGTAGATGACGTATCCCCAATACGCTAAAAGGATTATATAAAGTAAATTAGAACATAGAAGAATTCTGTGTCCCAAAAAGTAATCGCGTATAATACTTATTAACGTCTTTAAAAAATAGTGAATGTCATCTTTATTAGAGTCCTTTTTCAGTGTTTGAATGTTAGTGTATTAATATTATAAGAAACACATAAATATATACTTTTTTTAGTTTCTCAAAAGAGCCATAGACTACAAGCGTAGAATCTTCATTCTTTGCCAGCAAAAAACTGGACGTCTGATACATATCAAAATGCGACACATCTCAAAACTAAAAGTTTTTTTTCTCGAATCATATAAAACTACCAGAACTAATGTGGTCTGATGACACAAACCTTTGATATCTTGCAATTCTTTTGTAACNTTTTCAGTGTTTGAATATTCGTGTATTAATATTATAAGAAACACATAAATATGCTGTACTGAATTCAATTTATAATATGTCCCTCGAAACTTATTGAAATTAGGAAGAAACGTGACTAACCATCGTTTTTAGTTGATAAGGAAGTCAAGAAAGGTTGGGCATGATTTAAAATGTAATTCACTCTTAAATCGCATTTTATCGCATTAAATCACACTTAAATCGCATTAAAACCATTTAAATCACACAAATCAAAAAAAATTTTGTCAAGTGTGATGCAAGTCGAAATAATTATTTTTCTTTCATTCCATTGTTAAATCCTTTGGTATGCTGTACTGAATTCATTTCGTAATATGTCCCTCGAAACTTATTGAAATTAGGAAGAAACGTGACTAACCATCGTTTTTAGTTGATAAGGAAGTCAAGAAAGGTTGGGCATGATTTAAAATGTAATTCACTCTTAAATCGCATTTTATCGCATTAAATCACACTTAAATCGCATTAAAACCATTTAAATCACACAAATCAAAAAAAAATTTTGTCAAGTGTGATGCAAGTCGAAATAATTATTTTTCTTTCATTCGATTGTTAAATCCTTTGGTATGCTGTACTGAATTCATTTCGTAATATGTCCCTCGAAACTTATTGAAATTAGAAAGAAACGTGACTAACCATCGTTTTTAGTTGATAAGGAAGTCAAGAAAGGTTGGGCATGATTTAAAATTTAAATCACTCTTAAATCGTATTTTATCGCATTAAATCACACTTAAATCGCATTAAAACCATATAAATCGCACAAATGAAAAAAAAATTTTGTCAAGTCTGATGCAAGTCGAAATAATTTTTTTTCTTTTATTCCACTGTTAAATCCTTTGGTATGCTGTACTGAATTTATTTTTGAATATGTCCCTCAACACTTATTATGGAGAATAAGAAACATGACTGACTATCGTTTNACTTAGTACTCTCACCAATGAGAACAAAAGATTGCATTGGAGAAGCAAAAGAGAATCAGAGAGTATTAAAGAGAAGCTCAAGAGTTTCAAATAGATGTGATTGGTAAGATCTCATAGAAAATCGCAAGAGTGGAACTGATAATATAAGAGAACTACGGAGTATATGTGAGAGAATTAAGAGTAGCAAAGAGAAGTCGTGAGCAGAGCGAGAGCGAGGTGAGTTTTTATTCTTTGATGTAATGTATTTAATTTATTTTTTTAGTATGTCCCTTGAACCGTACTACTGCTAGAAAGAAGCATGAATTACCATTTTTTTTATTTGAAATGAAAGTAAAAAAAGTTGGTCATTCATTTAAATCTTAAGTTACATTTAAAGCGCAATAAATCGCAATGAATAACACTGACATCGCATTTAAAACCATTTAAACGACGCAAATAAAAAAAATTGTCAATTGTAACGTAAGTGGAAATTATTTTCCATTTTGAATGTGCAATCCTTTAACATAATGTGTTTAATTTTTTTTTTAGTGTATCCTTTGAATTTTACTAATGTTAGAAAAAAGCATTAATTACTATTCTTTTTCATTGAAAATGAAGTCAGAAATGTTGGACATGATTTTAAATGTAAATCAAGCTTAAATGTCATGAAATCGCATTAACTACTCTTAAATCATGCAAATCTGATAAACATGTAGTAATATTATCAGCAAGTAGAGAAACAATTTTATTTGCATAAATGTTCAAGTACAGAAATGCATAAGTTTAAGGTGTGTTGAAATATGGCCCTTGAATTTAGGGCACATATAACTTTAAAAGATTAATTTTTGTTGAAAATAATTGTGGTTTGAAACAATCTCGTTGTTTTGGGCACACTATTTGTTGACTTGTGTAAACATTGACAACTTATTATGGTGGAAAAAGGCCATACCTACTGTACACAGTTTGTTTTTTGAAAAAAAATTTCCAAGTTGGGCGTGATTTACATTAACTTTAATTAAATTAAAATCCCGGTTTTATCGGTAAATAACCTTTAAATCAAGCAAATGTACAACTTAAAACTATAGTATTACTTGAAATGAATCATTATTTTAAAATAAAAAGCTCTTCATACGTGTACATCGCATGCTAACACAACTGTGTGCTCTACGTAACGTTAATTTCCAATGATGACTGAATTATCCTTGAATTACGGACTGTGGTTACCTTTATCTTTAAAATTATATACATTTAGAGTATCTAGGTCATTTAAGAATGTTTAAAAAAAATTTTTTTTTTCATCGTGATTTAAAGATTTAACTGTGATTTAAAGCATCGGAACAGTGATTTAAATCGCTTAAATCACGTGGGTAGCCCCTCGCCTATTACCGTGGATTATTAACAGCAGCTAGTGTATTTAGATTTACCAGGTTCGATATTTTTACCCTAGCTTGTATCCAGAAAGCATAGAATGAGTGCTTTACTTAGGTGACACTTATGGTACTTACCAATATGATTGCTAATCTTTGTATTTTAATTATCAATAATTATTTTTACTTTGGTACACTTGTGCTCATATGTTTTGCAATCAATTTCTTATCAGAGGTAAAAGAAGGAAAAAAATTTTTTTTATCTCCCTGCTGGGAAGTCCCTGCTAACTTCAGATTCATTGTACGGAATCAAAATTGTGCGATGGTAAACGTTCATCGGTAACAATAAATTATGATTATTTCAGGAGCTTACCGATATGCGTTACGTTGATGTCGATGTCTTGGATCGGGAAAACTTTGTCGAGATCGACGTTCTGCCACTCGGGCTGTAGTGACATCTTCATCTTAAGGGCTTTGCACTTATTCTGCAATTCGATGTTTATCCTCGTGATTTCAGTCATTTTGCGATCGTAGTCAATGTTCTGCTTGCGAAGATGCTGGAAAAGAATTTCGTCTTTTGATCAACTATGTTTAAAAGATACACTAAGAGAAAGATTTGTTTACTATTAACGTGCAAGTATGTTAACAGAAAATTATTTAACATGTTCTTTATAACTTTTAAAATTTTGACTATCATAAACGGCATGTTAATAGTTTACATGCCATATTTACGTTGAACCTGCGCCACGTTAGATGGCACCACGCAGTATACATATCATACATAAGTTAATAGTTTACATATGAAGTTAATTTATAACAAATCCTCCTCTTAGTGCAGATTTTTAGTTATTTATTTATTCATAACTGGAGTAGTTTAATTATAAACAGAAGCTATAAAAAGTGATACTTTCAACAAGAGAGTAGTTTAATTATAAACAGAAGCTATAAAAAATGATACTTTCAACAAGAGAGTAGTATCAAAATGAATAAAGGGCAATCCTTCCCACATTGCCGACAATCTGCAGTGTGATAATGGTGTACTTGAATCCGTTCCTGACAAGATTTTCCCCCAATAGGTTGAAACTAAAGTAATCCTGACTCCTCTATCTGCTTTTTTGAATAAATTTTCGTATGTAGATACTTTAGACAGCAATAGCAAAAATCTCAACTCAGCTCTATTTAAATACATCCGATCAGAAATGAGTCGTTGCGCAAATTTGACATGTGGCCAAACAGTAGGCAACGAAACATTCGGCAGCCAAAGTAGGCCCGAAGACTGCCCGAATGTAGTGTGCCGATAAGTGATCGATGGAAATATACGCAGATAAAGGTTATCTAAATTATTATGTATTAAGTCAAGCATAAAATTTCATAACAGATAAAGTACGGTAATATAATACTTTTCAAAAGTGTTGTAGTATCAAAAATTTGTAAAAAAAAAGTATGCTTCAATTATAAAATAAGTAAACACATTGAAACGGACGGAATTTTTATTTCTTTTTCTTCTAAATACACTCGTCAATTTTCGTCATTTTTTTTTGCAATGCTTTTCGCATCCTTTCAGAACGCCCTCCTTGCGAATCAGCACTATTTCTAATTACACTTCTAAGAGCATGTTTGAGATCTTTATCGACACATTGACTTGATATTGCGAATACTTAAGAATCATTATTTCTGAAATAGCATAACGATGGATAAGGTTAATTATACATATATCTATAAATTATTTGAAATCAAAAAGAATTTACCTTTAATACATTTGAAGAACTTTTTCTTGACATTACTTTTGCCTTTCCACTGCTATTCCACTGAATTTCTGTTTTAGGCTTTTTGTTTTTATTATTTTGTTTAGAATAAAGTTGATACTCAGAGCTCATAGATATTTTTCTTAATTTTAATGTTTTATTATAGATTCTATAAAATAAATCACCATTTGATATTATCATGAAAATAAAAAAAATATTTCTAAGTTCTACATAACGATTAAATGTGATAAAACTATTTGCCAGCTTATTTATAATTTTTTATCAGGAAGTATCACTATATCATAAGAGAATGAAGTTCTGTAGAAAAATTATCTCGAAATGGTATGTTTCAAAACTCAAAATTGTATGTAGAAATTTCAAGATAGACCCATTATCCGCCAAAACCGTGGAGTGTAGGGCCTTCACGTTTTAACGCGTAGACAACATCCATTGCCGTAACGGTTTTCCATTTGGCGTGCTCTGTGTAAGTCACTGCGTCACGAATGACGTTTTCAAGAAATACCTTTAATACACTACGGGTTTCTTCATAGATAAGATCGAAGATTCTCTCGACTCCGATGAACGATGGAAACAAAACTTTCCCGTGATCAAATTGCCCTTTAATCAAATAGCCCCACTTAAATTCTGTTAATGTAGCCATGACGAGACACATTATTTTGCAAGAAACATATTATTTAGCAATGATTAGTATTCCATTTATTTATGAAATATATGCGAAACTAGATTGTGTTTACTTTTGTTATTTTATGTCAATGCAATGAATAAATCAATATCGTATAATTGCTTTAAAGAAAATTAATAATGCTGCAAAATTATTAAAATCCTGACATATTTACTAACGTTGCAATAAGAGTATAACGCATGATGTGATATTTTTCAATCTCTATCTCTATGAGAGCACGCGCACAAAAAAATTTATTCGTCATAGGCCTACAAAAATAAGCTTGTTAAATAATAACAGTTACTACCCTACACACATGAGTCGCAGTAGCGTAAATTGGAAGTCTCCTGTAATGGTATGTCTTTACCGCCAACAGCACATGCTGGACGCTTCGTTGCGTATACAAAGAGTGTGACATAAACTAGTATCCATGTACCTGTACTCAAGCAGATATTCTTATTTTTAAACATGAAATGATCCAGTGTTAGCTGAATGTAAATAACAAGGTTAAAGGCAAATTATTCCCACTATTATCTCAGCAATATTGTAAGTATGAAAGCAATATGCTATTATTTAAATTGGAAATCGTTAGAAATGTACAAAATTCAAGACAAATGGGTCACTTATAACTTTTGGAGATATCTACTGTCACTATTTTTTTGCTATCCGTCTTATCTTGGGATATAATCTTTATTGTTTGAGAAAACGTTAATTTTTCTCACTGCTCTTCATCATCGAGAACGACTCTTATAAAATCTTCGACGATGCTGACGCATCGATGGTAACAAAATATCAATACTTTATACGACTGTAGTAATCAAAGATATTTACTTATGAGCTCAAAAGAATTCAATATCCTTGGCTAAATAAGAGAGTGTATGGCTTCCGTGGATTGAGTACTCAGGGGGTCATTAATCTCAGGGAGTCATTAATCTCAGGGAGTCATTAATCTCAGGGAGTCATTAATCTCAGGGAGTCGTTATTCTCAGGGAGTCATTAATCTCAGGGAATCATTAATCTCAGGGAGTCATTAATCTCAGGGAGTCATTAATCTCAGGGAGTCATTAATCTCAGGGAGTTCAACTGATCACTAACGTAAAGATCTTGACGTGGGATACGAATTTCTAGATTCTCCTACGTCAGAAAACCATAGGAACCACCAAAAACAACACCAAATTTTCGTGTCAAGATATAAGTAAACACAAAAGTATTGTTAAAAAATCAACAACCTCGGAACTGCGCCTGCGTCATCTGGCGGGACTTTCACTTTTATCGTTGCCTTCTTGTCTGTACTCATTTCAACCCTTTTATTTTTAACCACGCTCTACGCGGTCCACAGCTTTTATAAAAGTAGAAAAAATTTCCTAATATTTCTTTTGGGATTTGCAGTAAAATACAGTTGTAATACTAAGGACGTGTACGACTACAACGAAATTGATTGAAAAAAGTAAGACTTGAAAGGAGCAAACTTACTCATAAAAAAGGCAGCAACTTGCTGCAAGTGCACGCTATTTCAACGTAGTGAAAGTTAACAAGTGGAACGAGTACGTACATCAAAGAGTGCGTACGGGGTCGCGAGCAGAGTTCATACACGATCATTCGACGCCACCAAAAAAAACGTACAGAACGATCCATGATCCACCAACCACGATCTTATGCTATACTAACTTATCACTCATACATTCTTTTTTCATACGGTGTGCTTTGGAGTAATTTTTTTCTTGATACGTTAACATTAACGTCGTAACATGGCGTCCAGTAAGTTTCTTTGTAAGAGGCGTCAAATTATCGTCAATCATGCGATCGACAATTACGAGCACTTACCAAACGTCATTTTTTTAGCACAACAGAACGATTTACTCTGCTCTCCAGCAGTCACATCAACACACAACAACCGATCTGTAGGTGCACAAACTCTTTAGGCACGTAGGTTTTCACGGGTACTCACAAAACACGCGATGTAATGATCAGCTTTATTAATATTAATTTTCTACTAATCGATGTTTCTAAGAAAATGATTGGAATGTACATTGGTTAGGGTTGAATGTCGCTGGTGATAGGGTAATAAATTGTTAATCAGTGAATTTTTTTGGAAAATAATTTCAATTCTAAAGCAACACAGCATAAGAATTGCACAATTTAAAATAAAATGGCGTCGTATGGACTATGGAAGTTTCGACGAGAAACTTGGTTTCCCGAGTAGTTACTTATTTAAGGGAGTATTTACCTGCAAGCTGGCTCTCGATATCGGCACTAGGGAATGACTGAGGAGTCAAAGTAAACGGTCAGCCGCGACCGCTGAATTACGGCTTCGGAGTGGGAATACACACTTAACTAAGTCTATCGCGCACGAAGTAACAAAAGAAATACTTATACTAATAGGTGCCCGGCTACCATATAAGTGGTAGAGGTTCGCTATAGCCGGTTCGAATTACACATTCCATCGCAGAAAAAATACTTTTAATTCATAGTAGGGGTACAAGAAATGCGCAGAAGGGAGGTAATTACACATTAATTGTACATTAATTATAAACAATTAATGATACAAAATAATGTGAATCACGATAACTACCCTTTCTGTGTACTTTCTAATGAGTCATGCAGGCCAAATCAGAGTAATATCAAATTGTATGACTCATTCTTAATAAATTTTTAATCTGTGATACTTAGCAAATGGTATCAAAATAGATAATCATAAAGAGTATTATTCGAAGGGGAGTCACGTCCTGCCACGTCATAAATTGCCAACAAAACAATCATGTCGTTCTATTACAACTGTACTATGATCCTAACTTTTTTTTTTCGGCGCACTTGCCTTAAACTTTTCATTGCCTCACTGCCTCACCTTAATTTTTCATGAGATGAAAAATTGTGGTTATTATCACGTACAGTAGATACTACATATTTTTTGGTAATTTCCAATACTTAGAGAATCCGAATTGCGTATAGCAAGCAGAATTCATACGCAATTATTTAACGCCGTCGACAAAGAAACGTACAGGACGGCAAGCCTTCATTTACGTTAACATGTAATGTGGTGTCAAGTAAATTTTTATGATGGAGGCGTCCAATTATCGTCAATAATCTGATCCCCCGAATACACACACAGCTCTGAACGTCATTTCCCGAA